CGCCTGACGGAGAAGTTCGTGCTGCTGCTGGTGTTCAGCGCCTTCATCACGCTCTGCTTCGGGGCGATCTTCTTCCTGCCCGACTCCTCCAAGCTGCTCAGCGGGGTCCTGTTCCACTCCAGCCCCGCCTTGCCGCCCGCCGCCGACCGCAAGCCCGGGCCCGGGGCGCGCGCCGAGGACGCCGAGGAGGGGCGAATCTGGCACCGCGAGGAGGGCGCGCCCGCGGACCCCGTGCTCACCCTCCAGGACAACTTGGCCAGGATCCGCGAAAACCACGAGCGGGCTCTCAGGGAAGCCAAGGAGACCCTACAGAAGCTGCCCGAGGAGATCCAAAGAGACATCCTGCTGGACAAGGAGAAGGTGGCACAGGACCAGGACCAGCAGCGTGACCGCGAGCAGTTCGGGGGGCTGCCGAACGTGGACTTCCAGCCCCCCATCGGGGTGGAGAATAGGGAACCCGCCGACGCCACGGTCTCTGAGAAGAGGGCAAAGATCAAAGAGGTGAGTGCGCCCTGCCAGGCTACCCCCCCCACCTCCGTGGGTGCTAGTTTTCGGGGAGAAGAGTCAAACCTGTGAAACTCTTTAAGATTGCAACCTTACAAAGCAGAAAAGATGGAGGGTTCCCCCCTTCCACCAGGTGCTGTATCACAGTCTGTCTTGTTTCCTCGGTATAGATGTGGCCCATGAAGATCCGGGAGTGAAACCCGTTGTTTTTTTTTCTTTTTTTAACTTCATGAGCTTAAAACCATATGTGATGGGTATGAATACATGTACTGGTAATATACTAGCCTTTCCCACTGGCTGCTACAGGGTTAATTGTTCCTGAGAGTAGTAACAATGAAAGGACTCAATATCCCCCCCCCCAAAAAAAAACCCACGTTTGGTGTGATTTAAAAATGAAGCTGGGCTGTGAACGCAAAGCATCAATCACGCTTGATATAAAGGTTCCATCAGCAAGCCAGTGAACCCAGCGTTCAGTCCTGTGGCCCCATTTTGCCAGGTGTTATTCTGAGTGTACTTACAAACTGTGAAGGTGAAAGTTGAGAACTTCCCAACATAAGAAAGATACTATGGCTTACTGTCTTTAGAAAAAGGAGATTTAAAAAAAAAATTCCCTATTTCTAGTGCAGTCAGAAAGAGGGTTTTCATGTGAAGCAACAGGTTTGCCTCTACAGCAGGGCAGTAAACAAAGTTAATCTAGGACAAACATGGACTTTGATAAGTCCTCTGTAATTTCTTTCTGGTAATTTTCAGTTTGAACTTGTAACATGTGATTAGTTCATGACTAGCTTAAAGCTGAAGGAGACCTTGAAAATCCTTTTGGGCTGTCATTTCAAAGATGAAAGTTAAAGGGCCTTGAGCTCCAGAGCAAGTTAGGGACCAGAATCAGGACTTAACCCAGGAAGCCTGGATATCCTCCCAGTCACCTGTCACCAGGCTGTCTGTGGACGTGCCTCGGTCCTTCCAGTGCTCCACCCCGTTGTGAAACTGTGCCAGCCTGCATTTTACCTAGAATCTAGAGCTGTAGGAGTTCTATTAAAAGCATATTGTTCCAAATCTGATTCCATTTGATAAAACACGTTATGAATAGAAATAATATTTTTTGCTCTTAAAAGTAATTACACAGAATCTCTGAAATTTTTGTTTTGGTATCAGGTCAGTAAGCACAAAAGGAAGCATCCAGATCAGATTTTCAGAGAGTAAACAGAACTTGGAGGTGACTGAGAGATACTTAGCGTAAGTGGCTGCAGTATGGACTGCCTTGCGATTTGTAACTTTAACATACAACCAGATGGATTTGGTTGGGCTGTAATTGAGCAAGTTCAGGTGTATTTGGTTTTCTTCTGGGAAGCCTAGGAAGATGTCTTCATCCTCAGCTACATAGCTTCCTTTAGTGGTTCTTCAGCCTTCTGCCTCCTTGAGACCATTCTTCAAGCATAGAACTCTTCCAGACTTGGGGGTGGGAGAGGAGGCATGGGTTCTACTCCCTTGAACTTCTCCCTAGTAGTTTCCTTTCTCCTTGAGATCTTGTCAGTCCTATCAGACCTGGAGGGTTGAACCAAACTATCTCTTTCCAAATATCCTTCCATACTCACTTCAGGCTCATTATCCAACCTAGAAATTAACCATAATGATCTATACCTGACAATGTTTACTTTAAATTTGAACAGAGTACTTCATGCATAACAGGAGTCCAAATTCATATGGGCTGTGAGGTAGAGCAAACTGCACTTGCCTCCAAGAAAGGGATTTTAAAACCTGAAGACACACAGATGTTACAAAGCTGCTAGCACAGACCATTAATGATTTAAATTGCATTGGAGCAGAAGTAGCAAGGCATCTTAAGTCCGTTCAGGACATTAACAGTGTACATGTCCATACCTATTAGATCCACCTTATCTGTGTCTCTAAATCAAAAGGATTTAATTTACCATGCAAGAGAAATTTATGTAGCTTCTGATATAAGTGCATTGCCAACATTTTAGCCCTTACATGTTTTGCAACTTCCCGGTGTTGCAGAAAGTGGTGGAACCAAATGTGTCTTTTAACATTCAATGTTATTGTGAGTGCCCAAAAGAATCAGCATAATTAGCTTCAGTAGTTAGGTAGGGGCCTGTGAGAAGAAATGGATTATGATTTTCTGTCAGTTCAAGCAGACATAATTCTTTGTAAACCAAAGAAAGTAACTTCTACTTTTCTGATAGATGAGGTGTCTGGTTTTAGAGAGAAAAGAGTGGTTGCCCATTGTGAATAAAGCGAGTATAGCTTTACACACTTACGTTCTTTAGGTGCCACTATGGATGCCTTACCATGGACCAATGACTTTAACCTTGGTTTTGTTAGTGCTTGTGCCTGTATTTTCTAGTTCTCTTTATTCTAAAGTTTCTTATTTTGATTTTTTTATTTTGTTGTAAAGGTGATGTACAGTGAGGTGTCATAAGTAAGGTCACTAGTACATTTCTTTTTAAACAATGTTACCTCTCCCTAGTTTTTTCCCACTTCCCTCCCCTCCCCTCTCCTCTCCTATTTCTCTCCCCTCCCCCCAAATTTGTAAAGTTCATTTCCAACATAGTGTCTAGTAAGTATCAATATTGCATTGGTTCACCCTTTGTCCCACCATTTCTGGTTCCCCTTCCCTTCCCCAAATCAGATAAGCTTATATACAAGACAAAGGGTACAGAAATCAGAAACAGTTACAACAAGGAATAAACCCAAGGAACAAAAAAGAAAAAAAAGAAGAGAAGTAATTGCAAATAACACACACACACACACACACACACACACACACACACACACGGAAAAACAAACACCTCTGTTTCCATGTCTTGGAGATCATTTTGATAAGCACCATTTTATATAGTCATATGCACATAGCTACTGCTCTGAATAAATATCCTCTACTAAGAATATCCTAGACATATTCTAGTTATTACAAATGAAGGAAACCATGCAGCCTGTGTTTCTTGGGGGCTGGCTTGCTTTACTTAATATAATTTTCTTTATCATACCTGAAGGACCCAAAATGTTTATAGTTAAAATTTAAAATAGATAAGGAGAGCTTCTATGCTGGGAGCTTGAGCTGTCATCTTAAGTAAAACTTTTGTCTTATAACTTTGGTTCAAAAATACTTAATTACTATTTTTCAAAATGTTAATATGATTGTTATTGTTATTGGTGCTATAGTACATTTGTAATAAATATGTGTCTTAGGGGAGATAGTCTGTTAATTAAAATAGGACATTGCCTGAAGTCTTTCACAGAAAGGTATTGTGATTTCCACTACCAATTTGATGGATGGTAAACCTTTGATGTAAAATTCCCTCACCCTGCCATTGTGGAACTATTGTAAATACATTTAGTTTGCAGGTCCCCAGATTTTATAAGACATACAAAGTGGATGTGTATTTCCATGAATTTGATCTTGAAATTATACTAAAGCTGTCCTTAGCTTAAAAAAAAAACAAAAAAGCTGTTAAGATAATGAAGCACAGATTAAAATAGCACCATAGAATTCCTAGAAAAGTCATTCATTTCATCTGTACTCCATTCTTCTTTAAAAAGTTAAGTAGTATTTTTAGTTGGTTTGATTTTTCTTTTTAGTGGGTTAGGGGGAACACACTGGGTCTGCCATCTCCTTTAGTATTAGAGCCCTAATCCAATTAGAAGATAAACTTTTTTGTCCATTTCCTGGAATTATGGGGAATTCCGATTAATGCAAGCCAAATTCAAGTTAACTCTTCTCAAACTGGAGTCTCCACGGATGTGAGAAGAGGTGGCCAACATCCAGGCTGTCAGCTTTGGGGCTGTCCTGTCACCTTTCAGCTGCGGAGTCACATAGGTCGGTCTTCTGAGTTTCTCAGAAGAAGAATGTAGTTTTGAAAACATGTTTCTCAGTCCTGGGGCTTGAACTCAGGGCCTGGTTGCTGTCCCTGAACTTTTGTACTCAAAGCTAGTACTCTACCACTTGAGCCCCAGGTCCACAGCTCCACTTCCAGCTTTTTGCTAGTTCTTTAGAGATAAGAGTCTCATGGACTTTCCCACCAATACTGGCTTTGAACTGCAATCCTCAGATCTTAGCCTCCTGAGTTGCTAGGATTATAGGCATGAGCCACTGGCACCTAGCTTCATTTTTATTTCAGACTTATTTGTATGATCATAGATTTAAGGAAAGATTCCATGTTGATGGCTAATGGTTCAAATATATTTTATTAAGACTTACACTAGTTCTAATTAATGTTAACCCTTCTCTCTTCAGGTAGAGATCAGAGGTGGGGGGAATAATCCCCCTTGACAGACCAGACGAAACACATTTATTTTGAAGCTTAACTCCCAAAGTTACTTGATAGGGGTAGTTCTGTTGTGGAAAATAATATTTACAAAATAATAAAGGCCACAATTTGAAGTTTTGCCTTAAGAAACTAGAACTCCTTTGGACTGTTTCCCCTGCTCTGTTGTGAAACATTCTGTGTTCACAGTGTTCAGTGGCAGACTTCTCACTCAGGGCTCAGGAGCCTACCTCAGAGCAAGGAGAGCAGGCTGTGAAGTATTTATAAAGGATTTTCTTCAACATGCAGATGAATACTTAAGATGTTAACTGTGTAAGCACTTAGGCAGTTACTACATACTACTTATTTCATGAGCTATGGTGGTATATTTATTTATTAAAATGAGCTTTAAGTATGTGTGTCAAGGTCAGAGGAGAGGAATGTTGAGATCTGTGTGGAAGATGAAGACTTAAGTGTTTAGCACAGAGTTGCACAGGACTTGGATAGGACCCCCCATCCCCCCACTGGAATGCCTCTAGCCTTTGACTTTCTTTATACCCTACTATATTATAGACATGTATGTTTTTGTCATGAGGAGTTTTTGTTTGTTTGTTTGTTTTGTTTTTGGTTAGAAGAGCAGCCACAGCCAGGTGCTGATGTCCTCCTTGCCACTCAGAAGACTGAAATCTGATGATTGCTATTCAAAGCAAGCCTAGTCAGAAATGTCCATGATAC